TGGTAGAAATGAGGAGAAAGCAGTGACCAGGGGAGAAAAAGTTTAAAAAAAGGAAGTACATTCTTATAAGAACTAATCATTTTGTTGATGAAAGAGAAGGAAGAAAATGACATTTGTTGGACCTAGTGCATGCTATTTATAGACAATCAGCTCACTTTTTAATGCTTCACTATAACTAAGAACTAGGTTGTACTATCCCCACTTTGCCCAGAACGACATAGCTAATAACTTTCAATCCACGGTTTAAACCCTGGTCTTTCATTAAGTTCCACCACCTTTCATAAACTCATGGAAAGAGAAGAAAACCCTTCAGAAGAAACAGAATAACAAGTGTGATTAATATTGCCAAATGAAGCCTACAAGTACCCAGGGGGTGCTAATTAAAGCCAGATAAGGGAGGATATAATTAAGCATAACTTCCTGGACAAAGTCAGTCCTGAGTTGAATTCTGGAGGAGATGCAGGCCACAGATTGACAGAGTAATAAAAACACTAAGAAAGGAAGGAAGTCATGTGGCAAGGAGACAAGCTTAGCTGAAGCATAAGAGTTACAGGAAAAAGTAATGAGACCTAAGGAGGAGGGAGGGAGCAATTGTTCAACTACACAGGCGTTTGCTAAGCTTCAGCTCTGTGCAAGGCACTGAGCTAGAGTGTAGGGGGATTCAAGTGAAAACAAACAATTCCTACACTTGAAGACTTTACATTTAAACGGGAGAGATCAAACATGTTTCCAAATAACAATAGTACCAAGGTGAAATGTAATGTGACCTTTATTGTAAAAGTAAACCAAAAACTGTGGGAATACAGTAGATGGAGGGTGAATCAGGGCAGACTTCATAAATGGGCTCAGTCTTGAGGGATGGGAATATAGGATTTCAACAGGTAGAGATGAGGAGGAATAGTCTGAGCCATCACAAAGGGAATGGTAGGGTACTTGAGGAATAGTGAGTAGTACCAGGTGGTACAGGATGAGTGAGTGACAGCAGGAAGGCAGTACAGTTGTCGCTCAGTATCTGCAGGGGGGATTCGTTCCAGGGCCTCCCACAGATACAAAAACTCATGGATGCTCAAGTCTTTTGTATAAATGGCATAATATTTACATGTAACCTGCGCACATCCTTTCGTATACTTTAAATCGTCCCTAGATTATTCATAATACTTAATGCAATGTAAATGCTATGTAAATTATTGTTATACTGTATTTTTTTATGGGCAGCTGCCAGAACCTGAATAGGTTCAGAGCAACTCTCTGTTATACTGTATTTTTTATTTGTATTTTTTTATTGTAGTATTGCTGTTTTTCATTGGGTTTTTTTTTTCCAAATATTTTTGATCCAAGGTCAATTGAATACATGGATGCAGAACTGCAGATATGGAGAACTGACTGTATATGCTCTTTAGCAAAGAGGGGATCTGATGAAACCATGTTTTCTGAAAAAATAACTGGTAGTAGTACATAAGTATTGCAGGGGAAGAAATGGAGTTTTATAGGACAGCTAAGAGACTACTGCCAATAATCCAGGCACAAGGAAATGAGTTCCTGGACCTGGAACAGAGAAAATGGAAAGTTCTCCCTCTAAAGTGTTGTGCTTTGCACATTAGTCTTTAATTTGGATAATAAGAGTCTGTCCCTGAGAGGGTGCTTGCTCCCCTCTGAGACTGCAAAACTGAAGGCTCAAACCTGAAGCACAGCGCCTCTGTGGAGATTATATGAGAATTTTTTTCAAAGGAAAAATCTCTGCTCTGTGGCCCTTCCAAGTCTGTGTAGGTTAAGAAGTGAGAAAGAATGTCGGGAATGTTGATGGGGTGTCAGCAGGGAAGACTGGCTGCCTGCCCGGCTGCCAGGAGGACCTAATGGCATGGCATTTTCCTTCTTAGAGGTGCTTCAGGCTTGCTCCTTCAGCTTTGCAAGATCAGAAAGTTGATTTTGTCAGCACCCTCTCAGAGAGATACTCACTTTCTTTCCCAAGCTCAAGACTGAAGGATAAGCTGGAATATATACATATTTTGGTTTTGTTTTTTGGTGGCTGGTCAATACAGGGATCCAGACCCTTGACCTTGGTGTTACGACACTGTGTTCTAACCAACTGAGCTAACTGGCCAGCCCTTAGAGGGAGAACCATAATCACGAAGAAGAGCAGAGACTTGACGAACTCACTCTTGCGGTGGGGACATGTAACTGAGTCAGCACACCTTCTCTGAGCCAGACTTGGATGGGCACTGCCAGCGCGTGCCCATTGCTTCCCTTCTCTGTGCTCCATTTCTGGCCAACCCTCTCCCCTTCCAATGAAGAACACATTCATTCTTTAGATATGCCAATACTACCAATAAGGCTACAGCCAAATCTGGCTCTGGTCAATAAGCCGTTCTCCTTTCTTAAGGACCTCATCACTCTGTGTTGATTTTGTAGTTTAACTATCTGGGGGGAAAAAAACCTATTTTCTTATTTGTAGATTCTGGATGGGAAATTGCTTTGCCCCTTTACATTGCCCATGGTAGGAGTTTCTAATCTTCTACCCTTTCCCTGGAGAGACAAAAAGAAACACTATTTCACCTCTCCAAAATTCTGTCATTTGAACTCTAAGCAATTTCTTTTTCTTTCTTTTTTTTTTTAAAGATGACCGGTAAGGGGATCTTAACCCTTGACTTGGTGTTGTCAGCACCATGCTCACCCAGTGAGCTAACTGGCCATCCCTATATGGGATCTGAACCCGTGGCCTTGATGTTATCAGCACCACACTCTCCCAAGTGAGCCACGGGCCAGCCCCAACTCTAAGCAATTTTATCCTCCACTTTCTCAGCTCCTTTGCTAAATTCCATTTCTTTAGTCCTGTAACTTCCCCTTATGCTTTAATAGTTATTTTGCCTCACTGAAGAGAAGCTGCTCAGTCATTTCCATACTTGTTACTCAAGTCAAAGTCCAGGTTCCAGGCTCAGAAAAATTAAATACTTCCTGTTTTGCCTGTGACGAAATGAGATTCACATTATTTTTTAAAAAGACATTTCTTTTTACTTAAAGGAATCTTTCCTTAGCAATGACTTTATATTTAAAGTACCCTAAAACATAATGTGGCAAATGAGAGTTTGAGGAGGAATAGTCAAGAATAATGTTGCTTTATAAATTCCTTGAGGGCAAATATATATCTGAGGGCAAATATATATATTTCATTCTATCAGATATATTCTGATATATATATATATTTATATATAAATATATATATATATCAGAATATATCTGATAGAATGAAATATATATATTTGCCCTCAGATATATATTTGCCCTCAAGGAATTTATAAAGCAACATTATTCTTGACTATTCCTCCTCAAACTCTCATTTGCCACATTATGTTTTAGGGTACTTTAAATATAAAGTCATTGCTAAGGAAAGATTCCTTTAAGTAAAAAGAAATGTCTTTTTAAAAAATAATGTGAATCTCATTTCGTCACAGGCAAAACAGGAAGTATTTAATTAATGAATCCTCATAACTATTTATGGAAGATGGTAAAGTTTAAATCATTCTGGTCATAAAGAAATGTATTTGGTGCCCCTTTTAGCCACAGGATAAGTCATGAAATATGAAGTCATCTAACTCTCACCACACCTCTCCTGTACTGGATCCAACATGTTGGACTGAAGCCCCTTTGTTCCCTGTGGAGAGTCTGCCACCTCTGCAGACTTGTCCCCAGGAATGTCATTCTAGAAATAATCCAGCTTCTCTCTGGGGTCCATGAGTCACATACAGAAGTTAATTCATTGGAGCACCTGGCTTTTTTAGGCCCTTTGTAAACGCATTTCAGAAACCCTCATGACTCTCTGAAAGAAAGTCGGGTTCCACTTCAGTTTCTTTCCAGCTCTTGCTTCATTTCCTCTGTGCTTCCCCCACCACCTTTTATTTGGCTTTCATTGACAACCTTTACCTGCAGGCCTAGATCCCAATTCCTGAGTGATCCCAATTCCTGAGCTAGTGTTGCCTGAAGCTGGAAGTACACCAACAAAGCCTTATTAGCTCATCTACCCAGCTCCATTCATTCAGGTTTGGATTGACATCACACTCCACTAGACCATCCCCATCCTCTTTTCTGCTAACCACACTTGTGGGATATTGTGTGCCAATGACTAACTTGTATAATCTGTATCTTTTTTTTTTTCATTTTTAAAATTCAGTTTTTATATCAGAAGTAATAATTGAGTATATTTTCACTGTAAAACAACAACATAAAGCTGAAGTCCCCTTTGTTAACTGAGAATTTAATTTGCATTGCCATATAGCCTTTTGATTGTTTTTATAGTCTAGGATGTTTTTTAAATATAAGAAATACATGATTACAATAAGATTAAAACAATATAGAAGTATGAATAGTTCTGCCCCATTTCTGCTCCCTGTCCACTGTTAACAGTCTGATGATAGCCTTCCAGACCTTTGTAAAATGCATTTACATGCATGCAAGTATGTATATACTTAGGCAGATAGTGTTTTTTTATATGAATGAGATTTTTTTTAATGTCTTTATTGATCTTTATTGATATCCTTTATTTACTTACTATTGCCTAGCTTTCCGTGTCAGTACATTTAGTTTTACTTTGTTAACAGCTGGATAATACTCCATAGTTTGAGTGTGCCATATTTATTTAAACATTCCCCCACTGGGGCTGGCCAGTTAGCCCAGTTGATTAGAGCATGGTGCTGATAATGCCAAAGTCCAGGGTTTGGTCCCTATACTGGCCAGCCACCAAAAAAAATAAATAAACATTCCCCCATTGCTGGGCATTTGAATTGTTTCCTTTTTGGGGGATTGATTATTTGTTATTACAACAATGCATACTGAACATCTTTGCATATGTCTCTGTGTACTGTCCAAGAATGTCTCTAAGCTAGATACCTAGAGATACAATCAGTGGGTCGAAAAATGTACCCATCTTTTAAAATGTTATATTTTCCAAAATTTACAACTAAAGAATTAAACATTTTAACCACTATGTATTTCCCTTTCTTCTGCAGAGAGTTCTATCCTGGGAACTGACATTGACCTTCAGACTATAGACAATGATATTGTCAGCATGGAGATTTTCTTCAAAGCCTGGCTACATAACAGTGGAACAGACCAAGAACATATCCATCTTCTTTTTCCTTCACCATGTTTCAGCAACATTTCCAGAGCCAGAGATAATCCAAGTACACAACCTCCAAAAGATATATAGGCTGTGATTATCCTTGTCTAGGATTTGGACTCTAGAATGGTGATTCATCAGAAAACAGAGTAGTTGAGGTTTAGGGACTGGATGAGGATTGGATAAGGCTGTCTAGTGTTAAGCATGAGGGGTAAGAAGAGAAGCTCTAAACAGTGACCACAGTTAAAAGCTGAGCCTAATTAAGCCCAGCCAGCAAATGCCAGTTAGTTTTAGGGCAAAGTCTTAGGTACCTCAATGACAGGGCATTAGTTACTACATAAGAGCAGAGTGAATCATATATTTTCCTCAATAGTCTCATTTTTTTTTTTCCTTTTTGTCTTTTTTCGTGACCGGCAACGGATCGCAACCCTCGGTGTTGCTCCCGCACCTCGCTCAGCCAGTGAGTGGCCGGTCTGTATGTGGGATCCGAACCCTTGGCGGGAGCGCCGCCGCGCTTCCCAAGCAGCGCACTGTAGCAGTGCGCCACCGAGCCGGCCCAATAGTCTCATTTTTAACATGGCAAATATTATTGGCATTTTAATTTGAGACATGCTGGCACCTTAACAATATCAACAGGGCCTGTGGTGAAAGGAAGAGAACCAAGATTTATTAGAGATCTTCTTACTATGGAGGCACCAAGTTGAGGAAACAAAAGCAACTACAGAGAGAGGCTCCCAGGGAGGACAACCAGTGGCCCAAGACAATGTTTACAAAGCAGTTCAAGCAATCGTTGAAACTGAGAGATCAATCCAGTGCTCTAGGCGTGCCAGCAAGGTCCTAGATATTGTTCTGGCTGGTGGTGATACTACATTCCAGGTTCTACTAGGTGGTGCGAAAAAGGCTATTTCTAGTCTCCCATTCCCTTTGAAGGTTGGCTTAGGAACTGGGGTGGCAGGGTCTGCAGATGGGGCCATCAGTATAGCCTGCCACACTGAACTTGGGAAAGCTGACTCCTTAGGGCCCAGCTCCAAATGGTAGGGACCAAGGTGTGTCTTCTTTAGGGATGGGAGTTTGTACCCATTTTTCTCATTGAACAGAATATTGGTAATGGCCACAGAGATCATTAAGTGTTGAAGGCTGGACAACGTGATGTTAACTGGAGCCCTTCTCACAGGCTCTGACAGATACATATGGGGTTATTGCCTCCTCTGAGGGCCCTTTCTTGGCTATTAGCAGTATATTTGAGTTTTTATTTATGTCCCCTTTTCTTCAGCTGTAATAGAACTCTGCTGTGACTACTGTTTCTTTTAGACAGGGAAGAGCCCTTTGGGATAGGATTATGGTTTTCCAAGACTCTTTCTTTGTAGGGATAGCCATCAGGTCTCTTCCCCCTTCCCCAATTTCAATCTAGGGACAACTTAACTTGATCTTAATATGTCTTTCCTTTGTGCGTAAAATCTTCTTCTCAGTACCTCCATTTCACCCCTTTTGTCCAAGGCCAAAAGTACTAATTCCTCCCTGTCCCATCTTCTGGAATTCACTTATCTATTTTCCCCTATCTAAGGCAGCTTGCATCTTTATACAGAGCTAGTTTATAGCTAAAATTGAGCCTTCCCTCTGTGCCAAGCACAACATTAACTCCTTCACTTGCTTTATCCCATTTCATCTTTACACAACACCATGAGGCAGCTACTGTTACCATTTATCCTTGAATCTAAGATGCTATCAATTGTAATATACACCACCATTTTATGTACCACTAAGAAAGAAAATATTGCCAATTAAACATGACACAGTGCTTTCTTTGAGAGAGCTCTTTTAGGTTAGAGTAGCAAGTAAAGACTAAGAATGTCTGCCTGGCCAATGGTGATTGTAAGACACATATAGAGATGTTAGTATGTGGGGAAAAAAATGTGTCTTGACCAATTAAATACAATATTATCCCTGTTTTACAAATGAGAAAACTGAGACTTAGAGAAATTAAACACTTTCCCAGGGCTGCACAGACTAATAGCAGAGCCAGGATTTGAAGCCAGGCAACTCCAGGGTCCGCTCTTAACCCTTAGGATCAAAAATCAATATTTTGTACATTTGCCTCCAGAGTCTGGGGCTTTATTTACTACACTAACCTGCCTCACGCTGGGCAATTCTGAAAAGAAGGGCTAGAGATTCACTTCTCTCATTAGGAGGGCTATGGCCCTCAAATGCCAGGAACTCCTACAACCTGCCTTTCTTCCACTGTTTTATGGCATTTGCCCGTGGTGCTGATGAGAATTTCTCTAGCTTCTCTTCCCTCTTTCCAAGGATTTCAGCACCAGGGTCAGAGCCAGAATGTTCATCTCCATCTGTAATCATTTTTTGGAAATCTGTGGGTCTTCAGGGTGCATGGTAGAACTTAGATACAGACTGTAGTCAGCTATTCTGCTGGGAAGATCTTCACTGGAATCCACATGCTCAGGTACCTTTGAAATGAGGTCTGGGGAAATTAGACCTCCTCTAGGGTAGATAGATATGACCCACCTGAGATTTTAAACAACCACAATAAAGGTTATACTATAGTTATCTATTATTTTTAAAACTGATGCATTGCAATACATATGGATTTCTAAACATGTAGCTCATGACAAAAAAATGAAACAAAATAAAACAAAAAACCTGAGCTGTTCTACCATAGACTCTTGAGGAGTGCTCAGATGTTCGTGTTAACTCCTCCTGACAAGGTTCTCCACCCCACACCACCTACTTCTTTGGCTCCCTAGGGCCCTTCACCCCATCTCTAGGTGTTTCCTTAGAGGCCTCTCTCTGGAAGACAGAGTACAGTCATCTACAGATGAGTGCCTTTTCTTGGTCTTTGGTTTGAGGTCTGCCATCTCTGCACTTGGGCTCTGGGTGGCAAGAAGTGCACCTGGTTCTAGGTTTGAGCCCTGCTAAAATAGTTTTCCCAGCTTTGAAACACCCTGCTGAGACTACAGTTTGAGTAGTTCTCAGCCTTGGCTGTAATAGGAATCATGAGGAACTTTTAAAAATGTCTATATCTGGGCTCTACCACCAGAGATCCTGATTTAATTGGTCTGAGGTAGGACCCAGACATCAGTATTTTTTAAAAGTTCCCTGTGTGGGCCGGCCCGGTGGCGCACTGGATAGTGCGCCGCTTGGGAAGCGCGGCGGCGCTCCCGCCCGAGGGTTCGGATCACACGCACCCAAAAAAAGCTAGTAGGGAAACTTGCCAGAATTTGAACCCAGATCTGCCAAAACTCCAAAGTCAGACCATAATTGTGTCTCCCAGTGTGTAAATATCTATCAAATACTTTGTGCACATGTGTGAACATGCCAAACTTTGAATGATTTAAGTATAACCTGTATTTTAATACTTAGGACAGCATCATAAAATTAATTTCTAAATGAATATTGAAATTTATCCAGTTTCTATGTTTAGCAATTGGTGTTAATTTACCTCTCATAAGTGCTAGAAAGGTTCTACAATACCTCCTCCAGCCCTTTTATACTATTCAAGCTTTTTATTAGCCCTAATGTTGATTGCCTTCCCAGGGCATCTACTAGTTTGAGTATAATTTGTCTAATTAAATTTAAAGAAGAGATGTTTCAGGGAGCACCATTTCATCATTTCCTCTTAAACTCTATGCTGTGGACTTTAATGAGGACCTAAACCCCATCTTAACCCAGCCTTAGTTTCAGCACAGATGAGCTGTGCTTGTTAAGACAGTCTCCTGTGTGATTCTTACTGCAACAGCATTGAGAACCTCAGCCAGATGAACACAGCTGTCCAATTTTAAAGCCCAGGGACCAGAAACGGAGAAGTCATGCACAGAAGAAATGAGGGGAAGCTGGAGTCCTAGGCAAAGTCCTTCCTACTGACTTCCCGGGCTCTGGGACATAGCAGGCCAAGAGCCATCTCACCCAGAATTAATGTCTAGTTCTTATTCACTGGGCGCAGGAGGGCCAGCTGGATCTGACATCTGTTCTGCCACTCTTTTTCTTCTATGTTATTTCTACTTTTGTTTTTACCTCATGTTTCAGTTAATACAGTCATTTCACAAATCACCAACATCAACTACTAGCCTTCTCACAAGTACACAACATTTGTGTGTTTGTGGTCCCTGATGTACAATGGTTCGACTTACAATTTTTCAATATGCATTCAGTAGAAACCATACTTTGAGTACCCGTACAATCATTGTTTTTCACTTTTAGTACAATATTCAATAAATTACAAGATATTCAACAGTTGTAATGAACATGGTGTTAGATGATTTTGCCCAGCTCTAGGCTAATGTAAGTGTTCTGAGCATATTTAAGGTAGGCTAGGCGAAGCTATGATGTTGGGTAGGTTAGGTGTATTTAATGCATTTTTGACTTACTGTATTCTCTACTTAGGGGTTTATTGGGACATAACCCAATTGCAAGTTGAGGAGCATCTGTATTCACAAGTTTGTTATCAGTATTCAAACCAGATATACATTTTATTGAAAAACTTAATAATATCAAGAATTCAAGCCTAGTCCAACATAACATTGTATACTGTAGCATGTGAAGGTATCTGCTGAGCAGAAACTTAATACAGAAGCATGTAATACCTAGATGAATAACTCATACCTAGTCTCAGCCTTCCTCAGAACTGTTGTCTGATGCAGCAGTGATGCTCCAAGGCCCAGAAGGTTCTAGACTTAGGTTTCTTTGGGGAATTAAAAAATAAACTATTTCAGGAACTTATTCCTCCCTCTCTCCCCAGAATGTCCCTAGAAGAGCCCACAGAGAAACAGTAGCAGTCAGCTGACGGCCTGACTTCTGCTTTCCTGCTCTTCCTTCATCTGATCTGCAGTCTTGCCAAAGCTTAGCCGCAGGGAAGTAGCAGAGGCAAGATTTCCTTTTGTGATTGCCAAAAGGCTCTGCATATTTTGGCATTAGCTGCCTCCTCCACAGAGGATGCGTGTTCCTCAGCCTGGATCACAAGCTACGTCTCTCACCATGAGACAACTGCTCAGCCAGCCCAGAAGAAAAAAAAGTAAAAATCATGTCAGGCCCAGAAAATAAGTTAACTATTATGTAGAACAACAGACATACTGTAGGTTGTAGACTGGCTCAACCTTCCCAAACCATTTGTACTTTCCTCTTTCCACCCCCCTGCCTCATCCCATCCCTTGCTTGTCTGGTGGAAGTGGAATGGGTGGCAGATGTTGTCTCTTAATAGCATAGCCTAAGGTAACTTGTGAACCACAGTCCCTCCTCTGATGCTGCTTTTATTGTAGTGTGCCTGAAATGTGATCTCCAAGAGCGACTTCTCAGCCCTTCCCTGCTCCCTGGAACAGCTGATGGCTCCTTGAGAATGGATGACCCCAAGGGAGACTTCAGCACTCTCTACCACATGGCTTCCCAATCATCAGCCTCTCGTTACCAGCTCCAAGTGGTCAAGTATGGTCCAAGAGAACCTTCTCTGTTCATGCAAATGCTATTCTTACAGGTTCCATGGCTAGGAAGTCCAGAGATAGGCAGTATCTCTAAGTGCTAGGCAGGCAAGAGTCAGTTCTGAGGTGGCAGTTACAGGTATGTCATGAAAAACCAAGTCCAGGCTACTCAGCACGTGGAGGTCAGATGAGCAGATGGTGGAAGAAGTGCTGCAGTAGAACACTCTGAGGCTTGGAAACCCAGAAAGACTCTGAACACAGAGAAGAACAAGATCAGTGGGAAGTGTGTATCCATTCAGTAAATGTATATTGAATATCTACTTGTGTTTAGGCATGCGGACAGAGATCCAACCTCTAAGAAGCAAGTGGTTCATAAGATCTAACCCTGCCACCTCTCGTTTCTCTAAATTCTACAATTGCTGCTTTCAGGGGAACCAATTCTAGGGTAAAATTAGTAATGATGGCAAAGACTACTTTTAGTGCTTCCTGGTTCCTACCACAGTGTCATGCACAGGTTCCTGAGCTTTGAGAATCTACTGTGTGCCAGATACCATGCTAGATGCTGGCCAAAGATGAATAAATCACAGACCCTAAAAGTTTTCACGAAAGGGTCTTAGACTTAAGCTGAATTTAAGTGGATCTGGATAGAGGTTCTAGATATCACTGAGGAGTCTTTCACTGCCATTGTCTCTTCTCAGGGCTCTAAAATCTAGTGGAGTCTGTGAGTCATTGATGTATGGACTCCCATTCATCCTCAGACCCACAAGCTGTTGGCAGCTGGACTGGGATGAGCTGGAGACAAACCAGCAGCATTTCCATGCTTTGTGTCACAGCCTGCTGGTGAGTACCCATGTCCACAGGTGGGAAAGAAGAATAGTGTTAAAGTACCAACCACAGAAAAGCAGCTAATTCTACCCTAATCCCACACCTGCCTCAGCCCTCAAGAGGACAGAAAAAAAACTGGAAATACTCTGAAATTTAGAGGAAGAATGACTTGCCTTTGATAGTTTCATGCTATAGAAAATAATTCCTTGATTCAGTTATATAATACTAAACTTCAAACCTCTGATTTTGTAAATATATTAGTCCATTTCTGTTGCTTATAACAAAATACCTGGAACTGGGTAATTTGTAAGAAAACAAAATTTACTGCTTATAGTTTCAGAGGCTGGGAAGTCCAAAGTCCAAGGAACACATCTTGTGAGACTCTTCTTTGGTGGTGGCTTCACAGCAATGCAAGGGTCTCACATGGCAGGAAATGGCAGAGTGCAGAAAGAGACTCTCACATGTTCTCCTTTTAAAGCCCTTAGAACAATGCCCATGACCACCATTAAACTATCAATGTAATCACCTCTCCAAAGCCCCACCTTTCAATTACCATAATAGGATTTCCCATCCTCTTAACACTGTCACAGTGGGGACCAAGTTTCCAATACCTGGAACTTTGTGGGACACAATTTAAGCTTCAATGAGTTTGGGAGGACATTCAATCCATAGCAGTAAGCTTAATATTTAAATGGCAACAGGGGATTTTCCATAAGTAACTATATTTTAAAACCCACTTCCTTCCTAACACTGTGTTGGACATTATGGTTCATTTAAATGAAGAGCACCTGTTCATGCCAGACATTATGCTAAGCCTTAGATATCTATTCATTGGTGACATAATAGACATTATCTATAACCTTAAGAAACTTACTCTGTAATGGAAAAGACAGAAATATATATATTCTTAATCATGAGAAGTTTATAAAGGAAAAGAAGAGGCTGCTATCAGAGAGCCTGTCTGTGAAAGTGACATTTAAACTGAGACCTGCAAGATGAGTGGGAATTAGCCAGGTGGAGGGTGGCAGGAGGAGAATTCTAGGTGCAGTGAAAGGTCTATGCAAAGATACAAAGGCTAGAAAGAACCGAGAGAAGAATTAAAAACAGAAAAGCCATTGTGACTGAAATATGGAGCAAGGGAGAGCGAGGCAAAAGGTGGGGCTGGAGACATGAGCAGGAGTCAAATAGTGCAAAGCTCTGTAGGCCAAATGAAGGGTTCTGGACTTTATTTAAGTAGGAAAAGAAATAATGAGAAATGACATCATCTATTTAAGTTTTTAAAATCACTTGGGCAGAAATTTGGAAATGAACTAGCAGAAGCAAGCATGGAATCAAGAAAATGAGGTAGGAAGGCATTACAGTGGTCTAGGCAAGAGATGATGGTGGCTTGGACTAAAATGTTGAAAGTCAAAATGAGAAAAATAAACCAATTACAAAAGTATGTTAGAGAGAGAATCATCAGAACTTGGTGAGGAATTGGATGTAGGGAGTGAGAAAGCAAAACACAAATAACTGCTTGGTTTCTGACTTGAACAACTAGATAGATGTCATTCTCTGAAGTGGGAAGAATAAAAGAGCACACACATGAAACTAATGCAGCAGTAAAAATAAAACAACTGCAAATAGAATCCAAGGACAGATACAGAATAAAGGTTTGACCTAGTAGGATATGGGTGAGCAGGACAGCACAGCAACATGTCTCTTTTACTATCAGAAGCAGACTTCTTTTTTTCCTGTTTCAAAGCCCACACTCTCTTTCAAGTCCACCCACTGAGTTCCTGTTTCCTATCTGAAGAACATCCATCTCCTGTCTTTGCAGAGCAGAGACAGCACACTCGTTCTGACTTAGCACCCAACAGCTCAGTGTACTATTTACTCCACCCAATTCCTAAGAAACTCAGAGAGGAATATCACTTGGTAGGAATTTCTCCCAAGTGGCTTCAGTACATTCTTATAGTACATAATATTTTAAACAGCTAGTCAAGCAGAGAACTCAGAGAAGCCTAATTAAAGTGTTGGTCAAAGGAGAGGGTCTTTGTCACCTGAGTATAGTCAAATATAGACAGATTATGGTATTTCCTCCTGTTTTTTCAAATTCAAAATTTCATCAAAATGCTTTTCTTTGTCCATATTGTTCTATCTATAAAAATAAACCTTACAGCATATATCTGAAATAGATAGATTTCTTAGCTATTTAAAGAGACTAGCTTGAGACAGAGTGAGGGAGTCCCACTGAAACTCTTACATAGGGCTGGCCAGTTAACTAAGTGGTTAGAGCACAGCCTCATAACACTGAGATTACAGGTTCAGATCCCTGTATAGGCCCACTGCCCCCCCCCAAAAAAAATACATATATATATTTTAAACATACATTAGCATTTTAATACACTGCTAGAGGGAGTGTAAATTTTCTGTAAAATGATACCCTTCAACACTTTTGCTGGGAATGTAGCCCAAGAAAACAGTCAAAACACAGCAAAGATATATATACTAGTATGTGTATCTCAGTGTTATTTACAATGGTAAAAAATTGGAAACAATCTAAATGTCCTAAATAGAGGAATGGTTAAATCTAAATAGGGGAAAGGTTATAGAAACTATAATTCAGCCTAACAATGAAACATTATGTAGCCATTGAAAATAAGGAAGAGAAAGAGTATTCCCTTCCATCTGGGCTTATATACAGAAGATCAGAGTCTCCCTGCTACTGAACTCAGGGTTTGAAAATCTGTATTTACTTATTTATTTGACAAATATTTATTATATGCCAGGCATTGCTCTAGGGACAAAGAGACCTCTTCTTTATCAGTCCTCTCTCTTGGAAACTCACAAGTATGTGGTTGACCCATCACTTATAGATACACATTTTTTGGAGTAATTGTAAGTAGTAGTCACTTAACAAAGTGCTTTCATACTTTACCTCATTTAATCCTCACAGTACACTGTAAGGTAGGGATTGTTGTCCCTATTTTTACAGATGGAGAAAATGAGGCCTAAAGAGACCAAGTGACTTACCAAAGGTCACACAGCTACTGAAGCGGCCAAGTCAGAATTTGAACCTAGTTCTGTAGACTACGAAGCCCATGCTTTTAACTTATTTGCTAAATTCCCTACTCTGAATGTATCCAGATAAATACAGACTACAACACTATTCTCCCTTCACTTATACTCCATGCTTGCATCTTCACTGGACTTGAACTCACTTAAAGTGTCTGGGTACTCATAACAGCTCCTTACTCATCTTGTATTATTGTGCTCTCTATTCTGTCCCACATCATTCAGATTAAAGACTACTTTCCTATTCTGGAAAAGAGAGAAGCAAAATAGTGCTTAAGTGGCTCTTCCTTCTTGCTTTTCACATGACATCTCCAAGCAGCAAAAATCCTGAATGTCAGTTTGTAATAGAAGGAAGCATTTTTCACAAGCTTCAGCCCATTTATTCAACAACAAATATTTTTGCATACCTACTATGTGACAAGACTTATTTAGAATTTTAAGCTTCCTAACCCTGTTTTTACAAGTTTGCCACATTTCTTTAACTCCATCCTTGGTTTTGTATTCTTTCTTATACCTTTTTCAGATGTTCTTTTAAAATCTGATTCCAAGTCAGCTCCCTGTGTAACTCTCTTGTCTTCTGTTTCTTATTGCGATGGTTCCCCTCCAGCCACCTTCTCATTCTAACTTCTGCCTTTCTGTTAATAGCAGCACCACCATTGTCCAGTCACCCAGGCTTGAAACCTCAGTCCCTTTCAGTCATCTTACCTTTACACCCACTTCATCACTAAGTCACATCAATTTTCCTCTCACATATTTTTCCATGTGCCAGTGCCCACTCACTTACTAAGCCTTGCCTGTTCTCCCCTCATGATACCTACTGCATTTGTTTTCTCCTCTCCATTCTTATCACTATCCCAGATCAAACCCATTACTCTTTCCTTCAGTGTTGCAATAATCTCTTAATTCGTCTCAATGCCTTTAGTGTTTCCCCTTCCCAATCCATTTCACATACTGTTAAGATTAATCTTCTTGAAATACAGCAATGATTCTGCTGCTCCTCACCTTAAAAATATTTTGTGGCTTACTGTTGTTTATCCATAAAGTACATATTCCTCAGCCTAGTTTCCAAAGTCCAGCCTGTGTCCCATTATTCCCTTTCATGTACCATACACTCCAATCAAATGAATATACAACCCTTAAATTTCCTCACCTTTGAACCTTTGCTCATGTTGTCTCTACTCCATGCAGAGACCTGAAACATGTCTCCATGTTTTCAAATCCTTATCCAGTCCTGAAAGGCCCAGCTTAAAAGGTGCTTCTTCAATGAGACCTTTTCAGATTTGTTTATCATTAGACCTTTGTGTGCTCTGTTTCTTTTTAAATAAAAGCATATTTAAGTGTGTTTTTCAATATAGGATCCTATGATTTGGGTTAAAGTCTAAGATATAAATTTGACTACACAAATCCAGAATGACATAGTTGCCTTTTGCTGGTATTTCTACCACTTCCCCACTATACCAAACAATTCCTCAGCCTTGGTCAAATTTAGTTCCAGAGTAGAAACTCCCCCTTTGTTACCTCTCTTTTTGGAGGTGTCAAGGCAAGGCAGTTTTCTATTATGTTGTGATAAAATATAATTTCTATTGTCCAGGAAAAGCCTGGGCTCTGGAATCAGATGGCCCTAGGTTTCTGACAGCTTCATTATTTCCCAAATGTGTGAACACAGACAACATACTTAACCTCTCTAAGCATCGATGTATTCATCTATTTGTCTAACAAATCTAGTGGGGCCCATGTAGTTTAGTCTATGCACGAATGGCATATAAAGGAGCACTATCCAGAGGGCCAAAAGTAATTTTCAAATTAATTGTGCTTTCAAAGAATACCAAAATGGATCTAGTTCATGACCCACAATGATATTTCTCAAATTTTCTTCCTCCACTCCTCAATTATTTCTAACCTGGAGCTGTTCCTAAAGACTTACACACACACACACACACACACACACACACACACAC